AAATTCGAGATTATTGTTTATTTTTTTCCTTAAACATAATATATTCAAATTCTTTATTCATTATTTTGTCTTAAAAATTAGACCTTCCTTCCAGTAAATTTCTTTCTTCTCAAATCCCTTTATTCAGAAGGGACAATTAATAGAACAGTAAACACCCTCAGTATTGTTCGTCTGAAAGGTGTCTTTGTTTACCCTTGTACTTGAAGGATATTTCAGTAGATATACAAATTGGAGTTGATGATCCTTTTCTCTTTTTCTTGTCTTTGGTGTTCTGTAGACTCCAGTGTTAGTTTCTCTTCATTAACCCTGTGGTGTGCTCACTAGGATTCCTGATGCCAGAGGTTTGCTGTCTTTTATAATTTCCAAAAATGTTACCAGATGTTTTTTCCTTTACCTCTTCATTCTCTTCTACCTTTTCTTTTCTTTCCTTTCCTTCTGGAAGACATTAGTTAGTCCTTCTCATTATACCTCTTCTGTCTCCTAGTCCCTTTTTTCTTAGTGTTCAGGCCCTTCTCTTCCTTTTCTGAATGTGGTATAATTCCTATACATCTAACTTCCAGTTGACTAATCTCCTTTTCAACTGTGTCTAATCTGCTCCGTAATCCAGTCACTATATTTTTATTTCAACAACTTTTTATATTTCTTAAAGTTCTACTTGATTCTTTTTAAAATCTGATTGGTCATTTTTATAGGCTAAGGTTGCTTGCTTGCTTATTTTTTTTTTTAATTTCACATTTCATTTTGTTAAACATTTCATACATATTATTATGTGTTTTGTAATAAATAATTCCATTATCTGATGGTCTTGGGATATAAACTTCTTGTTTCTGCTCATTCTTACTCTGCAGTGGGTTGCTTACTTGTATACTTGGTGATCTCTAATTGAGAACTCATATTTGTTTGATCTGACTCTGTGAAAACATTGGAATCTAAAATGATAATGCTTTCCTCAAGAGTGTTCATATTTGCTTATCTCAGGAGCCAAGAAGCACCAGCAACCTAAGACCACCCCATCCCCTTTTCACCCAACCTGATGCCACAGGCAAGGCTGACACTGACTTTGCCCTTAGGAAGGTTTCCACAGGTCCCACTTCCGTGCACTTTTGGGGTCCAGGGAACTCGAGGCTTCCCTGCTTTATGAAAAGGTGTCATTAAGTCAAGTCTGGTTTGCACAAAGGAGAAGTTCCTCTGAGGATTCAGATGGCTGTATTGCAGAGGCAGAGGGCTGATTTATGGCCCTTAAAGACCATGCTTGCAGCTCCGTGGAGAATGATTGCAGGCACAGAGTTGTTGCCTGGCAGGCAGCAAGAGGCCATGATCAGAATGACAGGTGCCCAAGGCAGAGTGGTGGTGTTGAGAATAAACCATGACAGTGGAGTAACCAGTCATTAATACGTGTCCCTTGTTCATTTGTAGGCACACAAACACACACAAAAAAAGTGTGATGAACCACAAATCTTTATTAATTTTGAATTTCTCTTATAATTTTTCATCTGTTAGACTTGCAAAAATGAACATATCCTATTTTATTTCTGATAATATCTAGTGTGACCAAAAAGGTAAATACACAGATACTCTCGCACATCATTGATAAGCTGAAACATTTTTTTTGAGGATGGTTTTGGTCAAATGTACTGACATGCTAAATGCACATTCAGCCTCTCTGTTAGAAACATCTTCATTAAACACACAAAATTTACACAAAGATATAATAGCAAAAAATCAGAGAAGGAGAAGGAGGAGATGGAGGAAAAGGGGAAGGATCACAACCTCAATAGCCATCGACAGAGCAAAGGCTAACTAGATCCTAAATCAAGCTTCCTTGATATAATGGAGTATTGTTTTGTCTTTTCCAAAAAGAAATAAGTCTCAGGTGGAAAAAAAAAATCTCTGATAATTTAAGTGTAAAAAGCAAAATGCAGAACGATGTGTATAGAAAGATTGCATTCATAAAAATATTTTAATAGCCAAATAAAAAACATACACATTTATATGCAGACATCGGCATGAAACCATTTTCTGGGAGGATGCACAAGAAACTGTGAAAATGATTCACTTTGGAGGAAGCAACCAGGGCTTCGGGGTAGGATGCGCCTCGCACTTTTCATTTTACACCTTTTTATACATTTTGAAAATTCCACTGCGAGCCACGTCCTGCTTTTGTCTGAGTAGTGGAGCCTGTTTTTATTGGACTCTCGCTGATTAGGGCACCTGCTTCCCCGGGTTATTACAGCCACTGCTTCTGCCTCTTCATCCTGGCCGGTTCCTTCTCGAATACCATGAATATGCATCAGACCCTCTGGTCTTAAAAAAAATCAACCTTCCGCAAAGATCTCTAAAATCTATTATGAAGTTAAAACAATAGATTTCAAATAATGCATACAGGTTAATCCCATTTTTCTAAAAAAAATACAGAATAAATACACATTATATGTGTATGAAAAGAAGAAGAGCCTAGAGAGATTTATTCATTCATTCAACAAAAACATATTGCCTGCCTCTCGAGGATGGGGCGTTGTTGCAGAGACAGAGTCTAGAGGAGACCCGAGTCCCTATTCTGTGCCCCTTGGAGTCCTGGGGCCCAGAATCTAGAAGGGATGAACACCAGCAGGTGGTACAATCCACTCTGAAGGCGGTGACCTTGAAATCAAATCATCTTAGTGCTTTTCTGTATTTTCTGATTTAATTTTTTCACCCTGCGTATGGTCTTAAAGAATCTATACAAAAACAGTAATTGAACCGTTAAACACAATCTCTCTCTCACACCATCCCTCTACTTTGACCTCTCTTCTCTGTCCACGGACACATTTCTACCCTCACCTATGCAAAATCTGGGATGCAGTGGTAGTAAAATATACTTGATTGTGTATCTGGCTGTCAGACTGAGCCAGGCATCCTGCATTTTACCTGCAGTCCTACTTACAGTCTTACTTACAGTCCTACTTGCAGTCCCACTTCCTTGCTCTCCAGTTCCTGCCCCTCTGAGAGCCCTCCTCAGTCCCCTGGCCTTCCCTGCAGAGCTGTTGTCCTGGGGATGCTGTCACCATCTGTGTGTGTGCGTGATGGGCAAGGGTCTGGCCCCAGCCAGCACCTTCCCTGGGTGCTCAAAGAGCAAGCCCCTAGAACAGCACTCCCCAGACCTCCACCGCAGGGATGGCCCCCCATCTTCCCCACCCCAGGCCTGGGGCTCGTACCCACACCACGAGCTCCCCCCACAGGCGCTTTCCTATACACCCCGCGGCCTCAACCTGGCCTCCTCAGGACTTGAAGTGTCCCCACAGGACCTCCTTCCCCCCCCTGGCCACCCGCATCCAGGTACCACGTCATCCTCTACACAACAGGGGCCTGAGAGCCTTGGCCCCCGACCGCCTACGGCTGTGGGCCACCGCCAATTTGGTCACCTCTGATAGCTGCTGTCCTATAATTGAGTCAGCATTTCTCTTGAAATCAACTAACTCATTTTCACTTATTTTTAAAAAATAATCTATCCCTCTATGTCTTAGTGTCATCCTAACACCATCCCAGACTTGATGTGTCAGTTATTGAATTGAGTCAAAATAGACATGAAACTAATCAAACATAAGACGTCCATCAGGGCCCCCTGGAATAGCAGGCTCCCCCCAGGAGGCACAATGCTCTTTGCAGTGCACCGGTTTTGAGAACACAGTGATCTCACCCGTCACACACAGTACTGACCCCTGGAGTGGTGGCCGTGCCTTCCGGCAGCTTGGATGGCCCCCTGCCTCTGCCTCTCTCCCCACAGCCTCCCCCAGGCCGCCCGGCCCAGGTCTAATTACATCCTCTCCATCTCTGCGCTTCACACCTCTCGGCCACCTTCGCAGCTCTGCCCCAGCGCCCATTACGCACAGCTACATCTGTCAGGCGGCTCCTGTTCTTGCAAGACCCTCAAGGAACATGTAGACAGTGAGAGCCCTCCAAGGCCCCTCCTTCTCCAGTTCCCTCAGGCAAACTGGGCCAGCACCAGGCAGAACACATGACTGTTCCAGGTCTAGCTTGGAAGGTCAGACCCAGAGCACTGGAAGAAGAATCTTTACAGTCCTGTCCTCGGACACATAGTAGGTGCTCAATAAACGTCACACAAAGATCAGGGGCTGTGAGTCCTGGAGGAAAGAGGCTGGGGTTTATGGCTACCCAAGGTGGCTTCGAGTTTGGGCTCTTCTACACAGAGTTGCATGGGAGAAGCAAGTAACTGGYGGGCTCTCTCCTGAGCCTCTGTTTTCTGGGGTCGTAACAATGCCCACCCTAAATGTTTGTCATGAAGATAATCAACCCTAAATGTTTATTATGAAGAACACCTAACCATAGGCTGTGCAAACGCTAGAACTTTCCAGAAATGCATGCCTTTTTACCATAGTGGTAACCATGATGCCCTTGGTGACTAATCCACTGTGGTCACCCAGTTGGCGCCAAGCTTCCCTTTTGTGAGTGGTGACCCTCTTCTCCAGGAAGACAGCAGAGCTGGCTCAGGGTCACAAGGGAAGGCAAGAGAGACAAGCCTGTTTATTTGACATTCAGGAAGCCAACTCATTCTCCTGTGCCTCCTCTGCAACACTTAAGCCAATATTTGCGTCTTTGGGATCCTATTTGTATGGTAATTCACAAAAATAGGGTTCGGACTTCACAGCCCACCTTCCTCCCGAAATTCGGAAAGCACATTAATTTCCTAGATGGTAAAATAATGCCGTAATTAAGTATCACCGTTTCTCTTCAAATCTGGGACCTTCTCACAAAATGGGTTTTTCGAAACACGGTGTAGGATTTCCCAGAAAACGGCCCTCGGGGGAAATGCCTTATTTCCCAGGTATGAAGGAGACCACGGACTTCATCTCCACACGATGGAGGAAAAATTGATTTGTTAAATGACAATCTTCCTCGTGCCTCTCTCTCTCCCGGCTCCCGTCGGCGCCCGAGGCCGCGGAGAGGTCCTTTGTCCTCCGCTGACCACGCCTCCCAGGTCCCCTCCGTCGTGCTCCCTGCAGGAGACAACTGGGCGCTGCCCTTCGGCCTCAAAACCCTGCTCTACGCGAGTGGACACGAAGATCCCGCACGTGGACGAGAGCTGGGCCCAGCGCGGGCCTTCGAGGGCTCGCTCTTCCCGAAGACCGTGCGGAGGGGAGGCCGGGAGGCCGGTGGCCGGGGCCGGGGGGCCGAGGCCGGTGGAGGCGCCGGGATTCGCCCGGCTCCCAGGCGCCCCAACCGAAGCTCAAGAGGGCCCCCGTGTGGAGAGTCCCGGGAACAGCCCGGCAAGTGTGTGCTTCCCCCAGCGCTGGGGTGCCGCCCTGCACCTCCAGGATCCCCGACCCACGCACCCACGGGGACCTCCAGCTTGCGGCCATCGCTCCGCCAAACCCGACTGTTTCTGGTGGACGAGACGGTGGTGGGCCCGTCCTGCGAAGACCTCGTGGACGACCATTTCGCAAGGCTCCGTGAAGAGTTAAGCTCTTGTGGTGCCTCTAAGAGGCCTCCTTTCCAGGGTTTCCAGGGTTCCGTGGGGACCGTCCGTCACGATTCACACAGACGTCTTCTTTCTTATTGAGTACGTCCAAACCTTCTGATTATCTTGCCAAATTCCTGTTCTGGAGAACAATGGAAGCTTTAGTCTTCTGCCAAAAGAGCTAATAAGGATTCCATCCAAGGAGAGACTTCTCGACCAGGTTCGGTTTAGCAAACCTTGACCTGTGACTACACCCCTCAGGGCCGTCCCCATTGTCCAACCAGACCTAAAGGTGTCGGGTACCACCACAAGAGCTYGCTTGAGCCCCCCGGGGCCTGGGCCTCCTCACAGCCCAGGGCGGAAGTGTGGTGTCCTTGGAGAGCCCTGGCCAAATTTGGTACAGATTATAAATGTCTCCAGACCGTGTGCAGATCTGGGAACACAGGTGCTGAAGCTGGGCTAACGAGGCCTTGTCTCCAAGACACCAGAACATCTGGGTGAAGGGGGAAATGCGCCCATCAATCACTCTGATGTCTTGGCTGTTGGGAAACAGCTGGGCTTTGGCTGGAATTTTCCAGTTTTTCATCTGGGTGGAAGCCCCAGCCAGAGCGAGRGTAATTAGCATTACCATGGGGCTGAGGAAGGATTCTGATGTGAATGGTTTTTGTACTGGAACCTTCCTAAACAAACAAACAGAAAAACCTGGCTGATGAGCTGGCGTGCTAAGCCAAATCTGGTCTCCCCAAGCCCCCCATTCCTTTCCCACTCAGGCAGCCATATGCTTCCTTCCCTAAGCAGAGATGCTAAACACAGGCCACAGGGAGGTGTCCTCAGCGGCCAGCTGCTCCCCTTTACAAGACACTTTCAGCGGATATTAGGCACAGGAGTGCACAAAGGCCCACCTTTGCCACCAAAGCCTGGGTCCAGCTCACCCTGGGATGGGTCTTAAGAATTGGAGGACAGTGAGGAACATACCACGTCCCCTCGACCACCTGTCCATGCACAACTTCTCAATCTGAAGCCCACCCTCCTGCTTCTTTTCAGCTGCCTGGTCCTTCCCAAGTTCCTCAGGGCAACGGCCAACCCTCTGAGGTCACCCTGCAGAGGAAGGCACATTCCAAAGACCTGGGAGGCTGCCGGGAGCGGGAGCAGGGAGTGGAACATGCTTTTTCTAGAACACACCATTTCTGAGTTTCCCACGGTTGCAGAGTCCACCATGGGACCTGTGAGGTGTCTGCAGGCCAGCCACCCACAATAGGGGGCCTGGCTCCTTAGAATTCCAAGGTTGTCGTCATAATCGCAGTGATTTGCTAGGACTGTCTTAGCGTGCCAATCTGTAACTTCTCAGGGGACTTTCAGTGGAAACTTTGTGCTTTCATGCAGTGACTTGATTGCAAAGCACATCTTTTGCTGTAGCAACCCAGTGACGGCTGCCATTTCAACAGACGCTTTCTGAAGCCTGCTGGCCAAGCGGCCAGCACATCTCAGTGTGTGGAAGGCAGGCCCCTCTAATCAAGAGAGCTCATTGTTTGGGTGGATCTATTGCTGACATTTTTATTTAAAATGTGGACAAGCTTCCAAATCCAAACATTTTAGGTGAATTACCTCAAGCTGAGGGATTTGAAATAAACCAGAATGTTCCAGATTTTTTTTTTTTTAAGCAAACACGTTTTTTAAAGCAAATGTTGATCAGAATCCTAGTGTATTCATCTGAGCAAAGAGTAGGGCTTCTTAGGCCAAAGCTAAGCCTGGGAAATTAGGCCTCACTCACAGGGTCTCCCCTCTGTCCCAAAGACAACCTCAGGGGTCATCAGAAACCAACCTGAAAACTTCCAATGCTGCACCCCACGGCCCACACACTCCCTTTTCCAAGCTGTAGCTCTGACCCTCATGTAGGCCACCTGAGCAGCTGAAAATGTGTTCAGTCTAGATTGAGCAGAGCTGTGAGTGTAAATTTTACAATGACTTTTGAAGACTTGGTGTGAAAGAACAGCAAATAAAACATCTCATTCATAGTTTCTGTATGTGTTGCATGTTATAATAGAATATTTAGGGCTGAGTAAAATATCTGTTCAACGTGACAAGCATGTTCAGTATTAGGTATTAGGTATTAGGCACAGGAGTTCACAAAGGCCCACCTTGGCCACCGAAGCCTGGGTCCAGAAAACATCATGCAGTAAAACCACACCCATGGCTTACATTTATGGCTTGAGTTCAGCTTCTCTCGGGCCATGCTGCAGGGCTGGGGAAACCTTACCTGGAAGGGCTAGGATCATGTCCGGCTGTTTTAGCTGGCAGGTTCCCAGGATAAGTAGTTGCCTTCCACAAAGCACCCACTTTAGATTCTTAGGCTGCCCCCAGTCCATCTAAGCTCTTGACAGGGCTTGCTCTTGAATCTCCCTTCTTGTCCCTCTCTACTTGCTCAGATCAGTCCAGACCACCAGCCTTCTGGGTATTCTTTGACTGGTGACCTTTTGACATGCAGCCAGATTCTTATCAATCCCAGCAACTGCACCCTCCTGCCTGGCCCTAAAGCCATGTCATGAAGGAGCCTCACCTGCACTCCTGCACTGCGTGTCCTTCCTCCATTTATCTCAAAATGGGCACTGTGACTAGCACTCCCATATGAAGGCGTGGCTCTAAGAACTTTCTGTGACTTAACAAATACTTATCAAGTGTCAGTCAGGCACTGGGCTTGGTGAGGCATAATCAGTGAGCAAGAAAGGCCCATCTTAAACAGAGCAGACACACTGGTGCGGAAACATGGAGGGAAGAAGGGAGGAAAGAGAGAAGGGAGGTAGGAGGGAGGGAAAGAAGAAAGGAGAGAAGGCAGGAATAAGACAAGAAAGAAGAGAGAGAGAACACTGAATGGCTGGAGTGGCACCCCACCATTAGTGAGCACCCTGCACCCAGATTGTGGTCTCTAAACACCACTTTCCAATAAATGAGCCAGAGCTTCCTGGAGAAATGGCTGATTCCAGGACCAGGGCTGAAAAAACACAAAATGAGCCTGGGAAATCACCTYGCACCTGGAAATAAGGAACTGTTCAAAACAAGAATATGTAGAAAGGATACAGGASATGAGTGGGAAGTGCTCTCAGTGGCCAACTCAGGGACAATTTGAGCAACAAAATGTCCATAGTAAGGGATTATCACCTATAAGCAAAATAGATATCTAACAGTTTGTACTACTAGAAGTAACACTGGAATGATGGATGGATGGTGGGGAAAAGATAGCAAATTGTGGTAGGCAAGAATCATCAATGGTCATCAATAGATGATCAAATGTTAGAGGCATAAATAATGCAAAAGGACATGTTCTCATCATCTCTAGTTAGAMCCTCAGAAGATAATTATTAATTGCAACAGGAAAGATGATGATTTAACAGTGAATGAACTTGGTAGGCACTTCCATGAGATAGTGATCACAGTGAACAACACCAGAAAAAGGTGGATCGACAAGAGGGACCTCCTGAAATAACCTAGAAGGGTAAAYATCACTTAGACTTCTTGATTACCAAAAATGCATTTGATGTATTTAACCATGAGGACACATCAGACTGTCCCAGACTAAGGAACATATTATGAAATAACTGGCCAGTACTCTTTAATTAAAAAGTTTCAAATTCATGAAAGACAAAGACATGTCACTGATTGAAGGAGACATGACAACTAAATGCCCTGTTGGACCCTGGATGGCCTCCTGGGCCAGCAAGGGGGTTGAGCCTTGAATCAGTTGTGGATTTGCTCATAACATTGCACCTGTGCTAACTTCCTGGGTTTTGACCTTTGTTTGATGTCTGTGTCAGATGTCGACCTTCAGAGCTGCTGGGCAAAGGGTATAACACTCTCTACTCCTTTTGCAACATTTTTGTAAGTCTGAAATTATTTCAAAACGAAAAGTCAAAAAATAAATGTAAACAAAAAAAACTGAAAGCAGATCAATAATTGCCAGATGTGGTGCACACTGCACAGGAGAGGGGGGTGGAGCAGAGCAGGAGAGAAATGCAGAGGGCCATTTGCCAGGAAATGCTTGGGAGGCAGAAGGAGCACCCAGTGCTTGGCAGAGGGAGTCCCCAGGTCAGCTCTGGGAAGCCATAGGGAAGGCTCTCAGCAGTGCCCCATGGATGACAAGAAAGACAGGAGGTAACTGATTACCAAGGGCCTACTAGGCTCTTGGGAAAGCTTGAATGGGACTCCAAGTGCGCTGGGAACCACAGAAGTTTGGGGTTGTTGCATGAATCTCCTTCAAGACCCTCAGATGGTRTGAGACAGTATCCCACAATGGGCCTATTTAATGTCCGCTTCCCTAACGGAATAAGAGTTCTGGCCATTGTGGGCAGCCTTATAAATCCAGAGCCTGTCAGGTACCAGGAAAACCAGAGGTAGGTGTGCAGTGTGTGAGCAGAGGGGTGAGGGAAAGCAGGCGAGGTGACGGGAGGGTCCCCRTCTTTAGATGGCCCTCCCTAGCTGTGGGGGGTTGAGCTTGAACAAAAAAAAAGACGTTTTTAAGACCTGACCCCCCACCTCCCGAGAGTGTGGCCTTATGTGGACACCGGGTCTTTGCAGAGGCGATCAAGGTAGATCGAGGTCGTGCGGAACCCTTGGGTCTGATCAGTGAGTGGTGATCTCCTTTTCATGAGAAAGGAGAGGGAGACTGGATATGGAGGTGTGGACAGGCGGAGACCAGACGGAGGTGCCACCCAGAGCTGGGAGAGGCGGGAAGCACCCTCCCCAGGCAGCCGTGGAGGGAGGGCGGCCCTGCCCGCGCGGGTTTCAGAACTTAGACTTCCACAYACCAGGCCAGAGAAGAGAAATTCCTATTGTTTACCCCAGTTTGKGGTCATTTGTCACAGTAGCTCCAGGAACTCACATGCTGTCCTGTGCTCTCCTGGGAAGTAAGGGCTACTCCCTCGGCTCCCTCTTCCTCTGCGCTGCCCTCAGGCTGCTTCCCACATCCCCCACTCACACATTGATTTATGAAATGTTTTTTTTT